CCTAGGGCTCTCGAAATGGACTTTTTTATAGGGAGTTTCTTGATAGAACAAAGGGTGGGATTGTCTCTTTGAGAGGTGCTGCAGGCCAAGGAGGGCCAGAACTGTGCTGGAGCACCTCTGGGCTGCTCTGCAGTAAGGCTGGAGGGGCCAGAATACTGATTGCTTATGGCAGGGCCAAGAAGGGAAGGAAAGGGGAACTCCTGCCTTGAGAGTGTCCACAATCGGTAGCTTTTAGCTTGTGATGGTTTTTTTGCAGCATTGAGGAAGTGGTGGGGTGGGGTGGGGTAAAGCCTAAAGTCTAAGCAGAAGCCTGGGAAGTGAGCACTGGTTAGGACTCATGTGTCTGCCTGGTGCTGGTCAGCTCATTCTCAGCAAGTAACTACTGATGAGAAAGCAACACATGGGCCGGGCGCGGCGGCTCATGCCTGTAATCCTAGCACTCTGGGAGGCCAAGGAGGGCAGATCATTTGAGCTCAGGAGTTCGAGACCAGCCTGAGCAAGAGCGAGACCCCGTCTCTACTAAAAAAATAGAAAGAAATTAGCTGGACAACTAAAAATATATAGAAAAAATTAGCCGGGCATGGTGGCGCATGCCTGTGGTCCCAGCTACTCGGGAGGCTGAGGCAGAAGGATCGCTTGAGCCCAGGAGTTTGAGGTTGCTGTGAGTAGGCTGACGCCACAGCGCTCTAACCCGGGCAACATATGGAGACTGTCTCAAAAAAAAAAAAAAGGAGAAAGACAAGAAGGCAACACATGGCTTAGGTAGAGTTGAAGTGCAAGCTGTTCTTTTGAAAGCTTGAAGCTTAGTTGCAGAACATCAGAAAAATCTTGAATGGGTGGCTGAAGAAGAAACAAGTAACCATTAACCCTCTCCGAGTCTTTGTCAGTAACCCCATCCTGACTCACGGTTTCCATGGCAACAGCCCAGCATCCTGTGACTGGCAGATTCACTTCCTAAATTGAGGCCATGAGTTGAGGCCCTTGGAGTTTTCTGATTTGGGGGAAAAGAGAAGAAAGATAAAAGAGAAGATCATGTCTTTATAATCATTCTCATGGCTTGAATCAATATTTTGGGGACAGAATTAGCTTCTGGCTAGCCAGAGCCTTTGGCCTAACACTACACAGGGTTTCTAGTCATTCTGCAGCAGAGCCAGAAAGCACTGGCTGTTTGACATGGGTGTGTCCACCACTGGTGCCTGGCTCAGGTCAGCCCACCCGCTGCTGTGGGCAGGGCTGTTTTACTTTTTGTTTCCAGAGATTCATGGCACCATTCCCTGTGCCTCCCCACCCCCCATGGTACCTGGCCTGACAGGGCCATGTGGGTGGGACCAACAACTGTACTGTTTTTTTTTGAGACAGAGTCTTGCTCTGTTGCCTGGGCTAGAGTGCCGTGGTGTCAGGCTAGCTCACAGCAACCTCAAACTCCTGGGCTCAAGCGATCCTTCTGCCTCAGCCTCCCGAGTAACTGGGATTTGGGATTACAGGCATGTGCCACCATGCCCAGCTAATATATTTTTAGTTGCCGGCTAATTTCTATTTTTAGTAGAGACAGGGTCTCGCTCTTGCTCAGGCTGGTCTTGAACTCCTGACCTTGAGTGATCCTCCCTCCTCAGCCTCCCAGAGTGCTGGGATTACAGGTGTGAGCCACCGCACCCTGCCAACTGTACTGGTTTTTTTTTTTTTTTTTTTTTTGAGACAGAATCTCACTCTTTTTGCCTGGGCTAGAGTGCCGTGGCGTCAGCCTAGCTCACAGCAACCTCAAACTCCTGGGCTCAAGCGATCCTACTGCCTCAGCCTCCCAGAGTGCTAGGATTACAGGTGTGAGCCACCACGCCAGCCCAGCTGTACTGTTTTTGATGACATGTTTCATGTCAGTGTTTCAGGCCCACCCACTGCATCTACCTGAGCTCCCACTCCCAGATTGCCAAAGCGGTGGAGTCTTTGTTTTTCTTAGCTGAATGACTTAGTTCTTTTGGACAAGAGAACCAATCTCAACGGCAAGGAGCATTGTCATAGGCCCAAGTAGGCTGGAATCCCAGTCTTCTTGGGGTTCTTTATCTGATTTAATGGTCTGACCCCCACTTCTATCCCATCTGAGTCTGAATGCTTTCCCAGGGTACAGAGCAACTATGTCAAAGGGGACTCCCTGACATGAAAAGTGTCCCTCACTTGTAGCTTGTGCAGGCCAGTCTTACTTACCCCTTTGGATTAACAAAACTGCCTTCAGTTGTCTCATTGGGATTAAAGGATCAGAATATCAAGAGAGATTAAAGGGGAAGATGCCAGCCAACAGGCTGATCCTCTTAGAACCTGCCCTCTGATTCCTGCAGCTGAAGAGAAAGCGAATGAAGGCGATTAGTCTCTGCCTGGGGACCCCCCCCCACCGTGCCACCCCAACCCCCGCCCCAAGCTAAGCAGCACCACTAATCAGAAACCTGGTCCCCTCTACCAGGCCCTCTCCCTAGCATGCCCTTCAGGATTGCTGAGTCAGTGGTTAGACATTCTTACGACTCTTCTCTGAAACAGTTACTGTTCTTTCTTTAGGAACCCCTGGCTCAGCCAAACCCAACGTACTTGGTTGGGGCATTCATGTGTGCCTCAACTAGGTGGTAGAAACACATGGACAGTTTGGGGTTCCGGGGGGCATTGAGGCAGCACTGATGTTGCTCAGGATTAGCAAGGTCAAGGTGACTGGCTCTCACCAGATATGTTCTTTTGTGGGATTACCTGAGCCCTGATTATTTGCCTGGGCCTTTTCTTGGCACTTGGTATGGGATTTTTGCTTTGGAAGTTAGGGCTTTTTCAGCTTTGTGGTGAACAGTGAATTGACCTGGTCCTCTGCTTCACCTTCCAGACTTTGCCCAGAAATTTCCCTGTGGTGCTTAGGTAGAGAAGGCTTCCAAGTTTGAGGTGAAGCAGCGCTGGAAGCTGCCTCTGCTCCTTGCGCTTGCAGGCAGTGATTTAAGTGGCAGCGGCCCAGAGAATCAGCCTCTCTGTGTTGATCTCAAATAGAGAAGAACTCTTTTCTTTCACCCCTGGAGTACCAGCAGTTTGGGGAGGGGGTAGAGAGGGTGAGGAAAACTTTTTTCTCCCTCCCACTCCTCCAACATGTTGGGTAGTCAAGTCCCTTTTTTTCTTTTTCTCATATTCCCTAAAGTGTTGTGCCTGATTGGCACTGGCAGTGATAGGGAAGTTGCATCTTTTGGTGTAGACATAACTTCCTGCATTAACTATTGCTGTTCATTCTCTTTTGACCTTATTTTTCCCTCCAGACAGCTTCCCCCAGAGAAAAGGGAGCATAAGGGCCAGGCCTGGGCGCTGCCCGGGACTCCAGATCTTTGGCCCTAACACTGAGCTGTCCTGATGGGGTCAGAGGAGGCCAATGATCTTGACTGGTGACTTGGTAGGGTGACATGTGACCCAAATAAAGGAAAAACAGGCTTTTGCCATCTAGTAAATGCCAATACAGGGTACACCCAGCTGGCACAAACTGTTGAGTAGGAATCTGTACTATGTAATATGGGAGCAGGAACACTGGCTGCAGCCCTACCAGGAATCCGGAAAACTTCAAGAGGTATAGTTGCCTGAAAGACTCTTTGAGCTACTTGTGGGGTGAGGAGGGGCCCAACACTGGAGAAAAAGCAAGAAGATGAGCCAGTTTTCCTGCAAAGGTTGTGGAGTTCACAGAGCCCTGGACAACTTTCTTTGACAGGAAGTCATGTCTTAGGATCTGTTTAAATGAATGGAATAAAGAGATTTCTGGCAACCCACCCAGATCTTGTTTTGGGATCTTACTACCAGCCCCTACCTTGGACTCTGTAATCTGTTTTCTGGATGGTGGTGTGAGGTTAAGTATATTCACCTGCCTTTTTAAACCCTGACGCATGATGTGAAAATGGGAAGGAGGAAATTAAACACATCTAATGGCTAAAGGGAAGCCATGGAGCAGCATTCTCAGTTGCTTTGGGTGGATTTGAGCAAGGCCCTACATGAAACTCCAGAATGAGCTCCTGGATGAGGTCACCCCAGAGTGATCTAATTGGACGGTTACTAGCAGCTGGACTATATGTAACCGTTAAGAAGATTCTGTGTTGAAGATAATGCCTGTCTCTCTGTTCCTTTAGTATCAAGTAGGGCAGCTGTATTCTGTGGCTGAGGCCAGTAAAAATGAAACGGGTGGAGGTGAAGGCGTGGAGGTCCTGGTGAACGAACCCTATGAGAAGGATGGTGAGAAAGGCCAGTACACACACAAGATCTACCACTTACAGAGGTATGTGACTGCGGCAGCAAGGCCAGATGCTGACCTGGTTTGGAGGTGATGATAATGGTTAATTGAGGGTGTTTCCAGGGTATTAGCTGGTTGCTCACATTGCTTCACCTGTGAAAGTGGATATAGGTGGTGCTTTGTTCATTTAAAGATTGATTTTTTAAAAAAAATAAAAGTAATTCTTGCTCCACCAGATTCCCAGTTCTCAGAAGTGATAGTGTTTAGTTTCTTGTGGGCCCTTCCATTGTCTATGACTATGGAAGTGTGTGTATGTGTGTGTGTGTAAAAGTGGGTATTCGTTTCCTCTGTTTTTTTTATTTTTTTATTTTTATTTTTTTTGAGGCAGGGTCTCACTCTGTTGCCTAGGCTAGGGTGCAGTGGCATCTTCATACCTCTGTGCAACCTCAAACTCCTGGGCTCAAGTGATTCTCCTGCCTCAGTCTCCCGAGTAGCTGGGACTACAGGCATGTGCCACCACACCCAGCTAATTTTTCTGTTTTTTGTAGAGACAGGGTCTCAATGTATTGCTCAGGCTGATCTCAAACTCCTGGCCTCAAGTGATCCTCCTCCCTCAGCCTCCCGAAGTGCTGGGATTACAGGTGTGAGCCATCACACCTGGCTGCCTTTATTATTTTATATAGCTGGGATCATACTATACATACTATTCTTGTCTCTTTTTTACTTATCATGTCATGGCTGCCTTTCACTGTCAGCATAATCTGCCTCAGTCTTTAAAGTACACATACTATTCATAGTACTGTGTTGTATAGATGTGCTACAAGTCGTTAACTAGTCCTCTCTTGATGTGTATTTATAGTCATTTCCAGATGTCTACTACTCCAGTAAAACTTCTGCATAAATCTTTTGATGTATTTGTAAATCTGTAGTAAATGTTCCTAAAAGTAGAATTGCTAGGT